ATAAATATTCTGCCAATCGCTCACAGCGATTGACAAAACAACCACTGTTCAAATAATAATAATAACAAGAAAAGTTACTACATCTATCCAAAATAATGACAAAATCAGTAGTGACTAAATAAGAATTGAGTGTGTTTGTTGTTCAGGGTAAATCAGAGCGTGCATTCAAAGCGTACNTATCATTTATTCGATCGTTATCATTATTCTGATTAATTGTTACTATAGTTGTCATGATCGATTCTCAAGTTATTACCTGGATTACCTGGATTGGCCAGACTATCAAACGTTTGTAAAGTTGCTGACCAAAATGCTCGCGTTTCGTGTACATTGTTTTAGCCTCAATTTACGCCACCCCGCTGGCTAGACGAGCAGGCCAACCGAACACACCGAGTAATTAAGTAGTTGCCGTGAATGCTTTGCATAATTAATCTTGGCCAAATATCAATCCAATAAATAATCATAACTCTAATAAAATAAATATTCTGCCAATCGCTCACAGCGATTGACAAAACAACCACTGTTCAAATAATAATAATAACAAGAAAAGTTACTACATCTATCCAAAATAATGACAAAATCAGTAGTGACTAAATAAGAATTGAGTGTGTTTGTTGTTCAGGGTAAATCAGAGCGTGCATTCAAAGCGTACACATCGCTATTTATGCGTCATCTGTGTGAGCCTGGTGCAGACACTCAGGAATCTTTCAACGATGGCGTGCCACGAGAGGGTCTTAACAGACAGCATGTGCTGACTCGAATCGGTATTATGTCGCTGATCAGAAAGAAAGTTCAGGTATAATTCGTTTGGTTGTTATTATTCTTGTGTTGTAATCTTTATTGTTTGTGAGAAATTACTGTTATGATTCTTATTATTGCATTCTTATTGTATACACATTAGGAATGTTGTTGTATTATTGTTACTGCTTTTGGAATTTGACACATGTTGTGATTTGAAGGTAAATTATGCATTAAGGTGAATTAAGTTATTATATCTATCCAAAACTAATGACATTTCGTTTTGTTATTGTTATTATTCTCATGTGCCAATGATGATGAAAGATTGTTATATGAAATTGTTGGAAGATATTTGCTTGCGAAAGCGAATATTTTCAGTTTCATTTGTTGTTTTCGGTCTTTGATGAAAAGTTGATCATAAGAGCGAAACAAGCAAGAAATGATAAAGTAAAATTAGTATCGTTAATGGTGATTCACTCGGAGTGTTAGAGTGAATTACAAAGGCACGATATGACAGATGAAAGAATATGATATCAAAAGGCGAATCTGAGGCACATTTTAGTGATGACATCTTAAGCGATTGAGTGTTGAATTAAGAATTAGTTTAGCAATAAGAAAGGAACGTTTGAAATTATTGGAGATTTCGTTTTTATTAGGTTATTGTCATATCAAGTTTTTGTCTGCTTTTTTTAAAATTTACCTTTTTTTTCCTGATTTTCGTTGTGTTCTTTTTATCGATGTTTCTTTAATCATGCTGTGTGGGTGATAGTTAGAACATGTCATTCATTAATTCATGAAATATTTTTTAAGTCCACGGATGGAATTCTTATTTCTTTTATGAAGTTTTTTTTAAATTATAACATCTCGCCATTTCTTCATTGAAATCATGTTTAATTTCTGAATTTTATGTGCTCAATAGTAATAATGATGATAGTTTGAGGCTAGTAAATAGTGGAATTGTTTAGGAGTTTGAATCGAGTAACGGGGATTGGTCAATCCCAGAGGTGAAAGAGCGTCTGGCAGCACAGGCGATCGAAGAACGAGAAGGAACGTCAAGTAAAGGTGGCTCGAAGGCATCGTCTCGCAGTGGTACACCGGCCTTGAAGGAGACCACTCCTGACTCGAATTCAAATTCTAGAGTGAGTTTATTTCGTTGAGTTGTTGTTTTTAATGATGAAGGGAATAGTCAGTGCAAACGTAAAATTGATTCGAAGATTATAATAGTCAATAGGAAACGATGGTTGTGACGATTTTAGAAGTAATTTTAAACAGTAATGTTTAATATCATATTATATAAGTGATCTTAGTAGTGACAGAAATAGTAGTGATGGGTTGGTTGAGTGTATTTAGGTGTAATTTATTGCAAGTAGTATTTGGTAAAGCGTTGGGCATGCAGTATTTGGGAAGGGTTGGAGGTTCGTCATTAGTGGGCAGTATGAAAGTAGTTGTATGAAATCTAGATTAGTTTCTTTATTGGATGGGAAATTTGCTTGAGTGGCTGGGGTTGGGTGAGAGAAGGCGAATCCATAGAGGGAGGAAAGTTTGAGTGGGAATCGAGTAATATATTAGTATCGAACTTGATTTTGGCTATGATTTGGCGTGTATTTGAGTTTTGAGTTTTGATTCACGTAATATGTGGTTTTAATTTGAGTATTAATTTTTTTCGCGAGATAAATTCATAATGTGCCAATGATGATGAAAGATTGTATATGAAGTTGTTGGAAGATATTTGCTTGCGAAAGTGAATATTTTCAGTTTCATTTATTGTTTTCGGTCTTTGATGAAAAGTTAATCGTAAGAGCGGAACAAGCAAGAAATGATAAAGCATAAGTATCGTTAATGGTGATTCACTCAGAGTGTTAGAGTGGATTACAAAGGCACGATGCGACAGCATTATTGATAAAAGAATATGATATCAAAAGGCGAATCTGAGGCACATTTAAATGATGACATCTTAAGCAATTAATTGTTGAAATAAGAATTAGTTTAAAATAACCTGAGGAAATGTTGAAATAGCATAAAGAATGTGAGGAATTGACTGGTGAAATGAGAATTTGAGACGAATCAGAATATTTATGTAAGTGTTATGTAATCACCATTGATATTTTAATATAGTTTTACCTGAAGTGGTTTGTTATGCTACTGTTGTTGTTACTGTTTAGTGTTTGCGGTAAATTTTGTTGAGGTGAAATTATTTATTAAGTTTATTTGTAATCTTTAGTATTGTTATTGATTTATTAGGTGGTGATAGTGATTGATTAGAACAATTAAGAGATTTGCGCAGCCCGAAACAATTAGAGTTAGTCAACTGACTGATTGCTTTAATCTGGCATTATCTGTAAGGAATGTTTTGATCAAAAAGGAGGGAAGTGTGGAGAGTGATTTTTTGCTGTGAATTAAATGTGATTGTGATTCGTTGAGAATTTATTATTGATCGTAAAGAAAAGAGTTTATTAGATTCAGATGGAGACCGATAAAGAGGAGGATAAAATGGAAACAGACGAAGGTGCACCGAAGGGCGTAGTGAGCAAAGAGGAGGACCGAAAGAATCGTGCTCCCCGACCATCCTTCAAGTTCAACATTGCCGATGGTGGGTTCACCGAATTGCACACGTTGTGGCTGAACGAAGAGAAGGCAGCCGTGCCGGGCAATGAGTATGAAATATGGCATAGGAGACACGATTTCTGGTTGTTAGCCGGGATTGTAACGTTAGTGATTTGTACGATTGATTTCGATTTGTTCTATTGATTTTTGTTTTCTTAGTGCTGATTGTGAGATTTTTACATAAGGTAGAAAAAAGTGGCACGCTGAAGCGACGTGGGATGTGGGATTAGATGGTGTTTGTTGAGTGTTTGTTGAATGGAATTGAAGAGAGAGCAAGTGAAACGTGCGCAGACAGTAATTTTAGCATTGCTTAGCAACGAGACTTCACTGGCGATGAGTTAAGATGTGAACTTTAAGCGTTTACGTGCTCGATGGTGCTGTTTTTATGAAGCTTTAGGATGATATTTATTTGTCATTATGTTGATTTGATTGTTTCGGTTGTTTTGGAGATTATTTCGAGTGTTCGAAATGTTTCTGTAGAGTAAGATTAAAATGCGGGATGAGAGGATTAGAGTTAATGATCAGAATTAATGTGAAGGATTGGATTCTTAAAAGCAAGATACATTCGATGAAAAGAGTATTTGGATTAAGCGAAGAGGATTAAAACTGATCAGTTTATCACCTCGTTGAATCATTATCGGGATTTGTGAACGTGGAATGATTACAGATATGGTTATGGTCGTTACCAAGACATTCAGAACGATCCACGATTCTCGATCATCAACGATCCGTTCAGAACAGAACAAGGCAAAGGCAATTTCTTGGAGATTAAAAACAAATTCCTTCAACGCCGTTTCAAGGTGCATCATTTTTTCAGCTTCATTTTGTTCACTTGAACGATGATTCTCGTTCATTAGACATCAGTAAATGCTAGCTGGTGGTTATTATCAGCGTACATTATCGAGTTTAAACAGTAGAAAAACTTACTGAAGCTGTGTTAGCTTCTTGTTGAGTTGTTCTATAAATTTGTCTGTTTCCATAAACTATCTTTTAGGTATTTTCATGTAGGTATTTATGTAAGTTATTTAACTGGAAACAAAAAGTACATGTCTAATATCATAAGTGATAATTAGATGTTGACAAGTCGTTTTGTAATTTGTTTCTTATTAAAGGATTAATTAAGCATTGCGATGAATGAAATGAATATAAGTTAGAGCATGTATGACTGGGCATGTATGACTAACTAATAAAATAGATTCACTAGCTAATAAAATAAAAATCGTAAAATAAAATTGATTCACAATCAGAGAAATACAAAATTACGATAATTTTGCAGTATTTATATTTAATGTTGTAACTAAATTATAACTAATTTCACTATCAGGAAATGAAAGGCAATGATTTTAACTAAACTTAAAGAAAAAAGTTATAATTCAGAATCAGGCAAAAGTAATGATAATTTTCAGTTATTGGAGCAAGCGCTGGTGATTGAAGAGCAGTTGAGACGTGCAGCGTATCTGAATTTGACACAGTCGAATAACGATGGAACTCAGCAGTTGAACGAGCGTTTTGCAGACATCGAGTGCCTAGCGGAAAGTCATCAACACCTGGCCAGAGAGGGTATGCAAGGCAACAAGAACGCGAATGCAGTCCTTCATAAGGTAAACCTTCATAAGGTTGATATTAAACTTTTTTGTTGATATTCGATATTATTTATTGTGTTAGTGTGTTGTTGTTGTTTTATCAGTGATTTCGGTGAATCATT